AAAAAAAAAGAAAAAAGCCGGAAGTGGCGCTGTGGCTCAAGTGGTAGAGCGCTAGCCTTGAGCTGAAGAGCTGAGGGACAGCGCTCAGGCCCAGAGTTCAGGCCCCATGACCGGACCCCCCAAAAAAAACAAAATAAACTATATATGAGCTACAGGCAAAGGTATTAGGATCATTAATGTTAGTTGTGATCGCTTATTCTTTTAACTTGGGTAGCAGACACCTAATTTATCCTGAGCAGCCCAACAAAGTGGGCTTTTTTTTCATTTAGTGTTTTAAATGAAGAAAGTAAAAATTTATCATTCCTTTTTCCTATCTCCCATGGCATCTGAGAGTGGGGACTTATTTTTCTTTGCATATTTGACAAATATTTATTCAGTATTCAGCATGTGCTAGGCAGTTTGCAAGAGCTGAAAAAACTGGGATGAACAAGAGCCTGTAGGACTTCGTTTCACAGAGAAGTCAGACCTCATGCTGTCATAGTTGTGGAAGACAGATTACTATAAAGGAATATGACAGTGGCCACAATGATAGAAATGTAGCTGACATAGGACAGCACTTGTGTAACAGTCATTCTAAACTCATAACGCCTTGAGGATGATAATGTTGACATCCCACTTTACCCTTGAGGAAACTGAGGCACCAAGTAACTTGGCCATGGTCCCATGGAGAATAAGTGGTAGAGCCACAATTTCATCATGATTCCAGAAGCCACATTCTTCTCTGCCTTATTGTACTGGGGGCCTATCCCAGGGGAAGGCTTTTTAAGGGATATTTGAGCTGAAATCTCAGAAAAGATTAAGCAAAATTATAGTGGGAAGAAACAAAAAAGTTCTGAGTAGGAAGAATGTGGCTCCTTGGAGAAACAAGCCAGGGTTGGCTGAAAAGACCTGGTAAAGATTTAGGACTGCCCTAAGAGACATAGAACCTGAACATCCTCCTAGAGAGAATGGTGAGAGTTTTGTGCTTTAAATGCCCAGAGCTTACTGGGAGGACTGTCTCTCTAGCAGGTGGACTACTCCCACAGTCTCCTCTTGAGGCTAAACCTCCCAGTTTCTCCCCCTTTCCCACACAATTGGTTTTCAGACCTTTGTGTGTGCCATCATTGGGACTATCTGTAGAACTTGGGAACATTTTTTTTTTTTTTTTGTCAGTTGTGAGGCTTGAACTCTCGGCCTGGTCGAGGTCCCTCAGCTCTTCAGCTCAAGGTGAGTGCTCTACCACTTGAGCCACAGCACCACTTCTGGTTTTCTTGTGGTTTATTGGAGAAGAGTCTCACAGAATTTCTTGCCCAGGCTGGCTTTGAGCAGCAATCCTCAGATCTCAGCCTCCTGAGTAGCTAGGATTACAGGCGTGAGCCACCAGCTGGACTGCATTTAATAGTCATTTCCTTCTAAGGTTCAAGCACTGCCTTCCTGTTGGCCCTCACAATCATAGCCTGCACCCAGGCTCTGACACCCACTCACTACCTCACCAAGAATGACGTGGAGAGACTGAAAGCCTCGCTGGACCGCCCTTTTACAAATTTGGAATCTGCCTTCTACTCCATTGTGGGACTCAGCAGCCTTGGGGCCCAGGTGCCTGATGTAAAGGTAAGGCCACTTTTGTCTTGTTGACCAGTGGCTTGGGATAACTATAATTCCCTTGCTGTGTTTCCTTGTGTGCTTCAAAAAAAACTTGCTCATTTGAGGATAACCCTGGTTATTTTAATATAGGACTATTTAGTTCCCTCTAACAGATTTCTTTTTGAGTGCTATTTTTCGTGGAATGGAATGGAGACACTAGTCCCCTGGAAACCTGTGTTAAGAAGGTCAAGGCACAAGTGCTTATGTGTTCTAAATAGTGACAGCCATGGCATCAGGCAAGTCTGACTTTGTATAGAGAATGAATCATGATTAAAACCTTTTCTGTGTGTGTGCATGCGTGCCTGTGTTTGTGTGCACGCGTGGGTGTGTGCCCATATCAGACTCAAGTCTTGGGTGCTGTCTCTGAGCTTTTGTGCTCAAGGATAGCACTCTTTTTTTTTTTTTTTTTTTTTTTGGTCCGGTCGTGGGGCCTGAACTCTGGGCCTGGGCGCTGTCCCTCAGCTCTTCAGTTCAAGGCTAGCGCTCTACCACTTGAGCCACAGTGCCACCTCCGGCTTTTTTCTTCTTTTGCTTATGTGGTGCTGAGGAATCGAACCCAGGGCCTCAGGCATGCAAGGCAAGCATTCTACCACTGAGCCACCTTCCCAGCCCCAAGGGTAGCACTCTTATCACTTGAGCCACAGCTCCACTTCTGGCTTTTTGCTAAGAGTTTTTGCTAAGAGTCTCATGGCCTTTTCTGCATGGGCTAGTTTTGGGGAAAATACTGTAGGATCAGCAGGCGGGGAGCCATGTGTTCTGGCTGCTTGCTACACAATTCATTTAGTCATTCAACATGCTGTGGGTTTTTGCTGTGCTCTAGGCATGATGCTAAGCACTGGTTATTTCATTGAACCAAACAAGAGCCCCTTCACTGTTGGAGTATACAGTGTAAAAGTAGAGAGAGGCATTGTCATACAATTATCTAGATGACTTTTGTTATAATGGCACCTCATGAGATGTGTGTTGTAACTAAGTAGTTTCCTTGAATATAAAAATGGGGGACTGTGATCTGGTCAGAGAAGGCTTTCCCAAGGAAATCTTGAGCTTAAAATCCCACTCTGCATCACTTTAATATATAGCCGTGTGAGGACAGAACTTATTATGCATTTGATTTGTAGTATGTCCTCTTTGTCTAGCGGGACTTGTGGTGGGCACTTAATTGTTTATTCCATGAATGAAGTGACTGATTTGAATTTTAAACTGAAACTAACCCGGGATTTACAAGAGGAAGTAACTGGATCAAAGGACCTGTGTTAGCTCCTTTCCAGCGAGACTAAGAGGAGACCTTGTGTCACTGGGGAGAGGAGTTAGGCCAGAGAAGAAAGCTGGGGCCAAACCCCAGTCCTAGGCTGCCTCAGGAAGGATTTCAGTCTTTCTCCAAAGTGTAATTGATTTTATTTTTGTGCTAGTCCTAGGGCTTGAACTCAGGACTTGGGCTGTCCCTGAGCTCTTTTGCTCAAGGCTAGCTAGCACTCTACCACTTGAGCTACAGCTCCCCCTCCTGCTTTTTTTGGTGTTAATAGATCAGAGTCTCATGGATTTTCCTGCCTGGCCTGGCTTTGAACTGTGATCCTCAGATTTTAGCGTTCTGAGTAGCAAGGATTATAGGTGTGAGCCACCAGTGCCTGGCTAGAATTGATTTTAAACAGCAAGTATCATCTAATTTGTATTTTGGAGCGATTTCTCTTCTACTTTATAGAGGACAGACTACACAGACTACATGGATGGGTGGGCTAGTCTATAAGGTAGGAGCTCAAGAGGGGAAGTTGGCTATGCAGGAGGGAACATGAATTTGGTGTTTGTGATGCTGAGCTCATAGTGCCTTGTGAGTTGTGTCAGTGGCTGGAGGTATAGATCTGAGAATTGTTTGCATAAGTTTTGGAAGAAGTTCTGGATAGGAGTGAGATTGCCTAGGAAGAGAGAGGTGGACGTGGGAGTTGGGACACTGCAGTAGTGGCTGACAGAAGAGGTTGGAACTGGGAATGTTGCTGCTGAGGTAGTTGGAGGAGAACCAGAGGAGTGTGCAGGGCTATGTGTGTAGCTCAGTGGTAAAATGCCCTGTATTGCAAAACCCTGAGTTGGATGCCTGGTACCACAAGAAAAGGCAGATGGGAGAGAAAGAACAGGGGAGTGTCATAGACTTCTGGAAGTCATTGAGAGCTAATGTTTGGAATGAGGCAGTAGTCTGCTTGTGTGGAGTTGGGAACAGGTACTGGAAAATATGGAGATCTCCAGTGGCATGATCGGGGCAGAAACCAGATTGGCGTGGGTGGAGGTGGGGAAATGGGAACTCAGTGTCAGCATCTCTGGAGATGTGTGGCTGTGTGGGAAGTCAAGGATGAAAAGAGGATTTCTTTGAAAACAAGACTTGAATTTTATTAATACATTATGAGCTACCAATTGAGAAAGAGAAGTCAAAATGAAGAGAGTGCCAGGCGCCGGTGGCTCACACCTTCCATCTTAGCTACTCAGGAGGCTGAGCTCTGAGGATCACCCTTACATTAGCATGGAAAACTTCCAAACTAACCCAAACCACATTTTCTCTAAGTTTAAAACATTTCTTTTCTTTTTTTTGTTGGTCATGGGGCTTGAACTCTGGGCCTGGGCACTGTCCCTCAGCTCTTCAGCTCAAGGCGAGCGCTCTACCACTTGAGCTACAGCACCACTTCCTTTTTTTGTTTTCTCTTAGCTCTTAAAATTCCACTCCATCTGGTACCTTTCCATTAATTTTATTTAAAACAGGTAAATTTATAATATAGTCCCAATTATTTTGTCTTCTGCAGTACTAGGAATAGAACCCAGGTAAGAAAGCGTTCTAGGGAATACCATACCTAAGATCCCAGTTGAGTTTAACAGTAATAAAGAAGCATAAAAGGAAATAATCTCAAATGTTCAAAAATGTTGGTTTGGATAGCATAGTTATGGGGTGATTTTTTGACAGGTATTAAATCTATATTTTCATATCTTAAGCTTTCTAAAAAGGATATATCCTGTTTTTACTTTAAAAAATATTTTAGTGGGGCTCTGGTGCCTCACATCTGAAATCTTGGCTACTCAGGAGGCTGAGATCTGAGAAATGCATTCAAAGCCAGCCTGGGCAAGAAAGGCCGTGAAACTCTTATCTCCAGTAAACCACTAGAAAACGGGAAGTGGCGCTATAGTTCAAGTGGTAGAATGCTAGCCTTGAGCTGAAAAGCTCACCAGGCCCAGAATTCAAGCCCCAAGACTGACAAAAGAAAAAGAAAAAAAAAGAGAGCATCTGCACAAAGCCTGGAGGGTCACCAGTGCCTAGACCCACTGGGTGACAATGAATGCCGTGCAACGCTCTAGCCAAGGTGTAGGAAGCAAGGTGTGAAGAAATGAGAGTAAAGGATGTGAGGGAGAGCAGAGTGAGTCAGGTGCTGGGTTTTCTGTAGGAACCTGATTTGGAGTTGTAGGGAAGATAAGTAGAAGAAAGCATGGAGGTCCTTTGTGCAGGAGGATTTGGGATACTTGAATTTTAAAACATAGTACAGAAAGTAGGGACTGTGCAGGCAGGAGATGGACACTTAGGAAGTGGTGTTCAGCTTTCACTTGTGAAGGTGTCTTGAACCAAAGAGGATTCTAGCCTTGGGAGCTCACTGAGGGCCCTGAACATGTTTTATGAGGTCTCTCTACTCTGCTGACAAAACCATACTGTCAAATATCACTGAATGCTGTTACCCTGTACCTTGATTTGACTTTTCAAAATGTCAGAATAGAACTGAGGTGAATTTTCTTCCAGCATGGGTTATTATGTTTTTTTGAGATAGAGGTTGTCTAGCTCAGACTCTGGAGCCATGCTGCTTGCATTTAAGTTTGTGTTCTCCTAGTTAAGAACCAAGTGATCTTGGATAGGTTACTTTTCCTCCCCTCAGTTTTCTTGTCTGTGAGCTAAAGTTCCCAATACATAGGGTTGTTTGAGAATTTAAGAAACCCACATGAAGCACTTAGAACACTGTGACACATTTTAAGTGCTCAGAAAGAGGTAGCAATGACCATCATGGTTTTGGGATTCTGGGTACTGTTGTTTCATTGTTAAAGCACCAGAGGGCGACAAAGTCCTTCTTCAGCTTATTGTATTCCGCAGAAAGTATTCTGCATGTATGAAGTCATTTTCTTCTTTGAATCTCTATGCAAAGTTAAGTACTTTGTTTTTTTTTTTTTCCTTTATCCCTCAGGCTTCTTCAAGACTTCTGATTAAAACTTTCTTGTTTTGAGACTTGTTTTTTTAATTTTTTTGGTCGGTCCTGGGGCTTGAACTCTGGGCCTGGGCGCTGTCCCTCAGCTCTTCAGCTCAAAGCAAGCACTCTACCACGTGAGCCACAGTACCACTTCCAGTTTTCTGTTGGCTTATTGGAGATAAGAGTCTCATGAACTTTTCCTGCCCGGGCTGGCTTTGAACTGTGATCCTCAGATCTCAGCCTTCTTAATAGCTGGATTATAGGCTTGAGCCATTGGTACCTGGCTTGTTTAAATTTTATTTGTAACATTTTCAGAAACTATTTTGTTTGGAGAAACACTTTGGAATAGATTGTGCCACCCACCTCTGTTCCCCAGAGGTGCCCACTGAGTTTTATCTTTTTCCTTTTCAGTACTTGAGATCAAGCCCAGGGCCTTGTATATATTAGGCAAGTGTTCTACCACTGAACTACCCTGCCAATCCTTTTTTTTTTTTCCTGTAGTGCCAGTACTGGGGCTTTAACTCTCTTTTGTCTTTTTTATTCATGGCTGGTGTTCTACCATTTGAGCCACACCTCTACTTCCAGCTTTTTGCTGGTTAATTGGAGATAAAAGTCTCTCAGTCTTGTCTGCTGTGGCTGGCTACAAATTGCGATCCTTAGATCTCAGCCTCCTAGTAGTTAAGGATTGCGAGTATGAACCACCAGTGTCCATCCAAACCTAATTTTAACTGGTTTTCTTGTAATATAATTTGAAATGGCTGGGTTTTTATACTACTTATAGGAGTGACTTTGCTAGACATTATACAAGCAGCCTTAGAAGTAAGGTCGAGGGCATTGCATGTTTCAGCCTTGGCTTTTGTCTGAGAGTAATGAAGAACCACTGGAGTTACATTAGTAAAGCACAGGAGTACATCATTTGTGTTTCATGAAGTTCCATCTTGAAACATTGTGCAGAGAACATTATATGCCTTAGACTTGTTAGGGGAAGATTGTTAACAGTCTAGGTGAGGTAGAGCAAGAAGCTGCCCTCATTCACCAACAATTCAAGAGGCAGGGGGGTGGGTGGAGAAGTGAAAACGAGGCAAGTCTGATAGGCTGGCTCTGTGGGAAACACAGAGGCAAGAATGATTCTGTATGGGTTGGTGACATAGCAATGCCTGTACTTGAAGCAGAGTCCAGTGGAAGAGAGAGAAGCTCTAGGTCAGTTTGCATGTCTAGTCTGCCTCAGCTTTGAAGAAATTTCAGTAGAGATCCAAGAACAGTTGGAATCTGGAGCTTCTGTTACTTGTAAACTTTGTCTCCTCCTATAGGTTACTTACCAGCTCAAGCCCCGGTTTCCTTTTCTTTTAAAGGATGGGGCAGGGGAAGGGGGAAATAATATCTACAGAGGATAAGTAACCTTTGATTATCACAACACCCAACAAAGGTTATCCCATTAGGAGACTGGTAAAGTGCTTTTCCTCCTTCAGGGGTCCAAAGATTCATGTTTCTCTAGGCTTGCTGCTCTGAACAATTACAAGTAATACAGTGTCCTAAGGGAAATAACTACTTAAAAACCTGTCGTAGGTAGCTAACACTTCAAGCTGTCATAGCTGGCTTAGAATTGTATTTATCACCCCAAACACCTTCGCTTTGTCCAGGCACTGTGTATGTCACCACTTACTGTTGACTTTCTCTCTCATTTAGAAAGCATGCACCTTCATCAAATCTAACCTTGATCCCAGCAACGTGGATTCCCTCTTCTATGCTGCTCAGTCCAGCCAGGCCCTCTCAGGGTGTGAGGTGAGTCCAGGATCCTAAACAGGTACTTAATTTTCTGCCAAGCAAATCTTTTATGGGTAGGAATCCATCAGGGCTCTATGATGTAACTCTGTGAAAGAGAGCTTGCCTAACATGCCCAAGACTCTGGGTTGACCCCCCTGCCACAGCTAAACCAAAACCAAAGTGAGATTGTTTCATAGATTTGTTTTGTTTTGATTGGAGGGGGCTAACATACTGTATATGATTTACTTTCCTTAAAAAAGCAGTGGGACGCACCCCTTAATACTAGCTACTCAGGAGGCTGAGATCTGAAAATCCAAATTTGAAGCCACCCAGGGAGACAAATTTCAGAGAATTTATATCAAGTTAACCAGAAAAAAAGCTGCAAGTGGAGGCATGGCTCAAGTGGTGTAGTGCCAGCTTTGAGGGAAATTAGCAAGAGCATAAGGTCCTGTGGTTAAGTGTGCGTGCGCACGCGTGCGTGCACACACACACACACACACACACACAAATTCATAGTTTGTTTTCCGGTTTCATTTTCATGGGTTGTAAATAAGCTTTTCTTACATTTGTTACCTTTCTTCTGGGAGTCCTTGAGTTTTTTTTTGTTGTTGTTTTTTGTTGGTCATGGGGCTTGAACTCTGGGCTTGGACACTGTCCCTGTGCTCTTCAGCTCAAGGCGAGTGCTCTATCACTTGGGCCACAGCACCACTTCCGGTTTTCTAGTGGTTTTCTGGAGATAAGAGTCTCATGGACTTTACTGCTTGGGCTGGCTTTGAACCATGATCCTCAGATCTCAGCCTCCTAAGTAGCTAGGATTTTTTCTTTTTATCTCCTAACATTTAGAATTTTGGCCTATGCCAAACTTTTAATCCCAACATTTGGTTTTTTTGTTTTTTGGTCCGGTCCTGGGGCCTGAACTCTGGGCCTGGGCACTGTCCCTCAGCTCTTCAGCTCAAGGCTAGCGCTCTACCACTTGAGCCACAGCGCCACTTCCGACTTTTTTCTTTTTGCTTATGTGGTGCTGAGGAATCGAACCCAGGGCCTCGAGCATGCAAGGCAAGCACTCTACCATTGAGCCACCTTCCCAGCCCCTAATCCTAACATTTGGGAGACTGAAGCAGGAGGATCATAAATTCAAGACTAAAATGGGCTATATAGTAAGATCCTGTCTCAAAAACAAATATAATTTAAGAGCAAACGGTACACCATAGATTTCTGAGTCATTTCACTGAACATAGGAGAACTACATAAGTAGACAAAAGTATTGTATTGACACTTTATGAACATTGAGTTGTGAGGCCTGGGGTTTAGAGAGTGAGCTGGTGCTATGTGGGAGTGACTGGTATGTCTGCCACCCATTTCTGAAACCTTTGTGCCTGCCAATGCTTTCCTAGATCTCGATTTCCAATGACACCAAAGAGCTGCTCCTGGCAGCAGTCAGTGAAGACTCCTCTGTTACCCAGATCTACCATGCGGTTGCAGCCCTCAGTGGCTTCGGCCTTCCTCTGGCATCACAGGAGGCACTCAGTGCCCTCACTGCTCGTCTCAGCAAGGAGGAGACTGTGCTGGCGTGAGTTATCACTTGGCAGGCTTCTTGGACTTCTTCTGTGGCGGGTACCACTCATTTGTTCAGCAGCCATTTCCTGGGCACCTACTGTGTGCCAGGGGTTTTGCTAGTCATGGCTGACTTTGTTATTGAATTAAACAGTGAGATCCCTGTCCTTGAGCCCACGTGGACAGTCTTCTGCAAGCTGCTCCAGCAGGAGGCAAGTGCGGAACCAGCATAATAAGCTCACTGCCGAGTTGAGACATGTTCACCTGTTAGGGTGAGAGAGTGGGGGCAGGGTGACTAACCAAAGGAGAAGTTTGGGAGATGTTGGCAGTGGGGGCTCCATGAGGAAGGGCTTTCTGATGAAGTATGAGATAGGCTTGTGGTGAATGTGTGATCAGGGGAAAAAATCACTCTTGGATCAGACTCTGCTCCTCTCAAAAGGTGTGGGGGAAGAAAAGAAACTTGGAGCAATTCCTATGATTACAAATGGGAATCTTGTTAACAAACTTAAAAGTGTTGGGCTTTTTTCACTTTTTTTTAGTATTTTTGAGACAAAATAATATCCAAATACTATTATTTGATCTTGGTTAGCGTTTCAAGATGTCACTGTTAGTGTCTTGATCTAATGTCACCTTTTTAAAAAAACAAAACCCAAACCAAAAGCTGTTTACTAGTTGTTTATGTCTGTAATCCTATCCACTCAGGAGGCTGAGATCTGAGAGAAAGTGTGAAATTCTTACCTCCAACTAACTACCAAAAAGCCAGAAGTGGAGGTGTCATTCAAGTGCTAGAAAAGTAGCCTTGAGCACAAAAGCTCAGGGAGAGTGCCCAGATCCTAAGTTCAAGTTCTAGGTCTGACCAAAAAAAAAAAAGGAAGGAAGGAAGGGAGAAAGGAATAAAGAGAAAAGGAAGAAAGAACCCTTCCCATTTATCTCTAAGGATCGGAATATAAAAACAATCTATCTGGGGCTGGGAAGGTGGCCCAGTGGTAGAGCGCTTGCCTTGCATGCAAGAGGCCCTGGGTTCGATTCCTCAGCACAACATAAGCAAAAAGCTGGAAGTGGCGCTGTGGCTCAAGTGGTAGAGC